CAGGCATAAGCCACTGCACCTGGCCCTCTCCCTTCTTTTATAACTACCCCTGTGTTTATCATTACTTCATGGCCACCATCAACTGGACCATTGTTCTTACCTCTGAAATATTTTCCTTGTCATCATCTGTTCTCTCTCTCTCTCTTCCTACACACATCTTAGGTCCTAATTCAACCTTCCTCTGGGTTTTCTTATTCCCCAAAACTCATATCCTACTAGTCTCCTTTCTTTAGTGCCAAATTTCCCTGTAAAACAGTTGACCGACCTCTCTCCTTTAATTTCTGCACGGCTTTTTCTCTACTATTTGCCTTCTTCCTACTGTTTCCTGATGACCCTATTGTTTAATCCAGTGACCGTTTCTTTGCTTCTCAATACCTTTGACTATTCTGCAATTTTGACATCTTTAAAATTACTGTTTTCCTTAATTTGGATCACAGTATCCTCTGAACTCTCTTGTCCTCTCTGACTTTTAAAAATGTTTTATCGTCTTCTCATTCTATAAACATACAAATCATCTGAGATGCTTTCCTTGCCTTCATCAAAACACCCTACATCCAGTTCTTCCTTCTAAATGGCCTATTTCTATGGTCTAATGGGACGATCCTTCTCCTAAGTCACCCATGGCTGGGAGGCCTCAGAGTTGTATTTAATGCTGCCTTCCCCCTTCTGCCTACAGTTCTGTCGGCTTCCCCTTTCATTCATCCTTTGCCTCTTCTCTCCCATTACCCTAGTTGAGGCTCATAGAACATCATGCCTGAATTATTGCAACTGCCTCCTAAGTGGTCCTTCCACCTCCAGTCATTCTTTCCTCTTCAATTCATCCAGTATATCACCCCTAGACTATTTGTCAGAAATCACCGCCTTGAATATTTCCTCCCCTACCCCAACTCAGGCTTTCCATGATGCTCCATTACCTGCCCAATAAATTCCAAACTCCCTACAGCTTCACAGAGAGCTCCCAGTTTATTGCTCCAGCTTCGTCTTCCACTCCTCTCACCCATACTTACTGGTTTATTTGCTGTTCGTCATACAAGCATACATTTTTCTACCTCTGGGGCGTTCTGTCCCTGGCATGTGAAATGCGTTTCTACTCAAGTCTTAGAACATTGACGAGTCAAGGCAAACCCGATTCTACTACTTAATATAGAGTCTACATTAATTAGAGGGACTTCCCTCTAATTATCTGTGTACAGTTTCTCTCCCTATTTCTATCTCTTTGCATCACTGCTACTTCTGCATTTTTGTTTGTTTGTTGTTTGCTTGTTTTTTTTTCCTTTTTTAAAAAATTTTTTATTATACTTTAAGTTCTAGGGTACATGTACACAACGTACAGATTTGTTACATATGTATAAATGTGCCATGTTAGTGTGCTGCACCCATTAACTCGTCATTTACATTAGCATCTCCTAATGCTATCCCTCCCTCCTCCCCACTCCCCACTCCGCACAATAGGCCCCGGTGTGTGATGTTCCCCTTCCTGTGTCTGAGTGATCTCATTGTTCAGTTCCCACCTATGAGTGAGAACATGCGGTGTTTGGTTTTCTGTTCTTGTGATAGTTTGCCGAGAATTCTTGGGTTTTTTTTTAAGAGACAGAGTCTCTCTGTCACCCAGGCTGGAGTGCAGTGGTGTGATTATAGCTCACTGCAGTCTCCAACGTTTGGGCTCATGTGACCCTCCCCCTTCAGCTTCCTGAGTAGCGGAGCCTACACATGTGTATCACCATGCCTGGCTTCCACTTCTGTGTCTTTTACTGCATGCGAATTTGTCTTGTTCATGTTTTATCTTGTACTGTTTCACCAACTAGCTGGAAAGCCACCTTACCCTGTTGAAAGTCTTCCAGTGCCTCCCCCTAATTTCAGGATTAAGTTTAAATTCTTCAGCTTGATGTATGAGTCTCCTCATGACCTGGTACCCTCTTGCGTTTCTTCTCACACCTCCCACACCCTTCTGCGTTTACCAAAGTCTCAGTCATTCCCAACTTCCTAAGTTTCCCAAAACACCCCGCATGCTTTCGTGCCTGTTTGCCTTTGTTCATCCCATGGATGAACAAAGGCCTGGAATGTCTTCCCTCATTGATTTTACTGGCCAATCATGACCCTCTTTCAAAATCCAACTCAGGTGATACCCCCTTCAGGATACTGATGCCCCCGTCTGTGAGATGTGCATCTGTTTTGCCTCCGCAGCATCCTGTGATACTGCACTGCCCCTGTTCAGCTGCTGACCCACCTTTCCTAGGGACTGTAAATTTTCTGCAGATGGGACACTTCCATCCTTCTCCCATATATTCCTAACACCTCATCCAGTGGCTGCTGGAATAGTGAAAGGAGGCAGGTGTGGCATGGGCAAGGCCAGCTGATTACACAGGTAACCACAAGGTGGCATTTACTAGATGAATTTACCATGACTCAGAGCCTGACTTTCAGGCTGGATGCCTGGGAACTCGGCTTACCATATTGAGAGTGGCTGCATCTCAGGAAGGTAAACCTTATTAACCGAAGGCATAGAGGCTCCTCTATAAAATCAGCGTGCCTGTGTACTGATTATCTTGAACAGGATGATTGCTGGCATTGACCTGACCGGGGTGTTCTCCTCCCATTTACATGCCACACAGAAAACAAATTCTCTCATTATAGATTTTCAGCCAATTCCTTTTATTTCACAATGGCTAATCACATGAATTGTGTGTGGATTTTACTGAGCTCACCTCTTAGAGAACAATCTTATTTCTAAATTCTTGGAGAGAGGTGGAAACCCTCTCCTGTAGCGTTTACGTGCTGATTAATCTGACATTTACTAAGCCTTTAGCAAACACTTGTTGTGACATGACGAGGTAGTTCCTGAATGAATAAATGAATGCAGATCGTGACACTAGATAGACTGCAGTGATGGAAAGTCCAGTTGTGGCAAAGTAGCATGTAGACATGCTCCACATGACCTGATTATTGGAAAATGATTTTCCCCTTAAAAGCTCCTTTTGCTCTCTTACACATTTCTGACTCTTTTTCCTCATATTCTTTTCAGTCATCATGTTGGCATCTACTGCCGTGTATGGGGGAACCTCACTAGCACATTCCAGACTGAGCTTCCCCCACCCTTGGTCTGGCTTCCTTGTCTGTACTGCTGCTCTGATTGCTCTCACCACAGGCCCTACCTCTTCCCCATTTCTCCTTCCTCCAAAGGAGTTCTAGTTCTCCTACTTTTTAAATCAGAATGTGCCTTGGACTCGGTACTAAGGTGAGTGACCAAGCACAGATTCTGCCGACGTCTCTGATGCTGCAGTTTGCACTCGCGCCTTCGTCTCTGACTTCAGCCCTCCTCTCGAGGTGTATCCCAGCATGTTTTGAAAGGAAACAGCTCCAAAGAAAGTAAAAATATCAGGATCCCTTATCCGTAGGATGTTAAAATAAAGTCGGCTCGGAAGAGGACAATTAGCCTTTTCTTAACAAAGTATCAAAGGTACTGTAGGCATGAAGCATGTAGATAAAGTTGGACTGAATTGTTCTTGTTGTTTTTATACTCACGTCTTGACGTGCATATTGTGGCTGCATAATCCCAAAATTTATCACCCCTGTGGTTCTTTAACCTTGTGGTGAGAAAATTACATTTCTGGTCATTTGCCAGTGTTAGGAGTTTCTGATTCTAATATCCAACTTAGTATTAATTTTTCACTATTTTAAATGGCTAAGAAATTATGTTTCAAGTTAGATCCCAATACCTTTAAACAAAATAAGAATAGGAATTTTTCTTTCACATTATATCTTTTTCTCTTTCCCCCTTCATCCCTAAATAAAATTTTTTACATAAGTACATTGTGCTTCTTATCAAGAACTCCAGGTTGGTCCTCAAGAAAGCTTAGACACTTAACCGCAATAAAGAAATAATATCTGCCCCCATTTTTAAGCAACTATTGTGTGTATGCCAATCTTTGTGCAAAGTATAATATTTTACATACCCTAAATGTATTTTTTCTTTTTTCTTTTCTTTTCTTTCTTTCTTTCTTTCTTTCTTTTTTTTTTTTTTTTTTTTTTTTTTTTTTTTTTTTTTTTTTTTTTTTGAGACAGAGTCTTGCTCTGTTACCCAGGCTGGAGTGCAGTGGCGTGATCTTGGCTCACTGCAACCTCCACCTCCAGAGTTCAGGTGATTCTCTTGCCTCAGATTCCCGAGTAGCTAGGATTATAGGCACGCATCACCATGTCCGGCAAATTTTTGTATTTTTAGTAGAGATGGGGTTTCTCCATGTTGACCAGGCTGGTCTCGAACTAGTGACCTCAAGTGATCCACCCGCCTTGACTTCCCAAAGTGCTGGGATTATAGGCATGAGCCACCGCCCCTGGACCCCTAAATGTAATTCTTAAACAACCCTCTGAAGAGTGTAACCCCCAGACAGCTCTCCCCATTTTACAGGTGAGGATCCTAATATTGCCCAAGTCCCAGTGCGGGAACAGAGCAGAACTGGAAGCCAAGCACGCTTCCTTGTTCACGCTCTTTCCCGTGCAGTACTTCTGCCTCCTTGGTAACATGGCTGTGTTTCCAGGTTTTGCCACAATCTCTTCCTTTCATAACAAGCACAACGAATGTGAGCCTTATGTTTTGTGCTTTTCATCCTGTTATTTTCCACCTATAGAAGAAACAAAATATTTGAGGACATTATATATGTGGCTTCATTATTATGTGTCAGTCATGTGCTGCCACATATGGAACAGATGCTGTGTGACTTCCAAAAGTGGTTTCATGGCACAATTAGAAATAGCCTGTTAGAAGGAGGTAACAGTGTATTTTTTTAAACGTTAAGTTTGCTACACTGTTTTTAATATTATATTCTTATCTATTTGTATGTATCTTTTATGTATATTTATTTTATGTATATTTACATATGTGTATATATACACATACTTATGTATATGTATGTGTATTTATTGTATGTATATTTCATTTTATGTGTATTTTATTTTATATATTTTTATGTAGTTTATATCATATATTTCTATGTGTTTTTTAGCTGATGAAGAGTATGAAGATGGAATTGAAAGGACGTGTGACACTCTCCTTATGTGCATTGTCACCGTGCTGAACCAGGGCCTCAGGAACGGTGGTGGTGTGGGGGATGTGCTAAGAAGGCCATCAAAAGATGTAAGCCAGAGTAAAAGTATTTTTTCAGGAAGCACATCTTTTTTTTAAACCTTTCTTCACAGCATTTATAATTTGGGTTTGTTTTTCAGGATAATATATTGTACCATTTGCTTTAAAAGTATAGCCATGGCTGTTAAAGCCAATTAATTGTTTACTAGGATTACATAGAAACAGCTAATGTACTATAATTCTTTGTGTGTTTGTAGAGTGGTGAAATGTTTCCAAGTTAATCTGTGTATTGCATTACAGCAATGAAATCATGACTGCGAACTTTATATAGGAGTTGATTGTTACATAAATAACATAAGCGAGGTTTCCTCTTGCCTATCAGGTTTCTTGAGCATGAGGATTTACTCTTTGCTTCTGCATAGGAATAGCCTCCATCATTTATCCATGATAAATACAATTGAGCCAATTCTAACAGGATTTCATATATTAAAATGGCAAAGTGGAAACATTTCTCACTAGCTGGAAAATCTCAAGTGCCAGGCGGGGAGCTTGAAGCATCTTAGGTCTGCTCAGGCCAGTTGTATCATATTGTCAAGTCATCTAACCTCTTAACCTCAGGTTCCTCTTCTGTTAAAAAACTGGATTGCATGGTCTCTAATTTGCATTTTAATACTGTTCATCAGGTAGAAATAAGAAGGAGCTATATATACTTGACACTGTATGGCCGAGAATAAAGCCTACTCCAGAAATTGACAGATCATTAGGTCCTCCTTAGCTCCCTAATCACTGACTTTTGGAATTGGCATTTAACTACCTTTTCTACAATGTCTGGGATAGGAGACCACTGTGCCAAAATGCATTTAGCAGAATGGCATAATAAAGTCATTTCTAAAGAAAGCAAAGTCCCACCATTGTGGGAAAGACATGTGTCACTCCTAGAGAAATTCAAGTGTTCTGGAAATAGGCTAGGAAGTTTTTCTTACAACGCTTCAAGTCAAGATGGAAAGTCAGCCTTATTTTTCCAACTTGGGATACTATTTATATTCATTTCGCAAACATTTATTGAATATATTCTCTATGCTAGACAGTGTGCTCAATCAATATGCCTAGAAATATGTATATATACACACACACACATATATATACATATACATGTATATATCTATATACACACACACACTTTTTTTTTAAATTTTTATTTCAGGAGCCCTTGTTTGCTGCCCGAGTGGTTTATGACCTTCTTTTTTATTTCATTGTTATCATTATTGTTCTGAACTTGATTTTTGGTGTTATCATCGACACTTTTGCTGATCTCAGAAGTGAAAAACAGAAAAAAGAAGAAATTCTAAAGACAACTTGTTTCATCTGTGGTAAGTGTTCTGCAGATGCTAAAATAATAGATGAACAAACTGTTTGCAGGAAAGAGGGGCTAGAGCGATTTTTATTTTTCATGCTTTTGGAAAAATTATTTCAAAATGAAGGCTGGATAAAAATCAGATTATGTAACTGAGCATTAGACTGGAATTCTCTGCTTCTATAAATAGAGAGAGGAATTATACCCCAAAGCTATCCTGTCATTATTTCTGTGATTTACATGATTCTCTGACTATAGAAATGTGATGCAAAATGCCAAAAGGTTTCACCAACTGGCAAACAGGCTTTTAATCACAGTAACATTTATTACACAACAGAATGATATTTAATTTTGTTAGAATATGAATCCGAATATGATTTTCCAGCAGCTTGAACTTCTACTCATTGACATCACTATGTTTTGGATTCTGAACTGAGCCTTCTCTCAGTTTGTTTGTTTATTTGCTTGTTTGTTTGTTTATTTATTTAGAAATGGAATCTTGTTCTGTCACCCAGGCTGGAGTGTAGTGGCACGATCTCAGCTCACGCAACCTCTGCCTCCCACATTCAACTGATTCTCCTGCCTCAGCCTCCCAAGTAGCTGGGACTACAGGCATGTACCACCATGCCCGGCTAATTTTTGTATTTTCTGTAGAGCCGGGGTTTCTCCATGTTGGCTGGGCTGGTCTCGAACTCCTGACCTCAGGTGATCCACCCACCTCGGCTCCCAAAGTGCTGAGATTGCAGGTGTAAGCCACCGTGCCTGGCCCTTCTCTCAGTTTTTAATTTCTCTCTCTCCTCTCTCTCTCTTTCTCTCTCTCTGTCTCTCTTATACACACGCACATACATACACACACATATACCACTCCCCTCCCCTTCTCCCATCATCATCTCTCCCAGTGCACACAGCCTTCTCCTTCCTTCTCGCTGCCCTCATCATCTCCCTCAGCTCTGCCCTCTTCTCTGTACCCACCACCTCTTTCTGGCTTCAGATGTCTTTGTAGCTGGTCTCTTGGCACCCTAGAATCTATCCTCCTCTTTGGGTGATCACCTACTCTAGGTTTCAGTCACCTTCCTTGTTTCCACATTAGGCTGAAAAAAATCTTTTGGTGGTAGTCACAAAACAAGCCTAAGGGGTTCACTACAACATTGCTCTATGTAACAGATTGGGCCCTCAATACATTTCATTCTCTCCTTGCTTCAACTTTTGTTGAGTGATTCATTCACCTCAGTGGCTCTCCAAACCTTTTCTACCTTCCTCCAACAGTTGAAGGTGTACCAGGTAATAATGTAAAATAATATGCTATATTCAGTGGAAACAAATAGAAAGTAGTCATTCCCTGTTTTGGTGTGTTCACGATCTATTTTGGGATACAAACACAATAAATAGCCTTGCTATCTCATGCATGGAAGGAAATGGTAGAGAAGTTTACAGGAAGCTGCAGGTACCCAGAGGAGGGATACCTCTCCAGGGTGGGGTAGGGAGTGAGAAAGAAGAGTCAGGAAAGCCTTTAGAAGAGATGGGAACTGAGCTGGTGGTAAAAGATGAAAGGGAGAGGTTTCCAGATCAAAGTGAATACAAGCAGAAAGGCCAGGACAAGCAAAGTCATGGAGGTGGAAGAACAGTACAAGGGCCTTCACTTACTCTAAAGCAGCTCAGTGTTTCTGACATAAACTTCAGAGCAGGGCACGCTAAGAGAGGAGATTGGCCAGACCCCGTGTGGCCTTTTATGTTAGGCAGCTTGGACTTTATCATCCGGACTTACAGGGGAAGATGAACCATTAAAGAATTTTAAGTAGAACAGTGCAGGGTCTAATTTTTGTTTTTGCTTTAGAGCACTGTGGCAGCTTTGGGAGGTCATTCATCAGGAAACAGTACCAGAAGCAGAGTCATCAGGTAGGAGGTCATTACCACAGTCCAAGTGAAAGGTAACGAAAGCAGGAGAGTTAGTGGTGGCAGTATTAAGGGTAGAAGACAAAGTCAAGAAATACTTAGGAGATCACATCTTTAAATCTTGATGGTTAGGAAAGGATATGAAAGATACCTTGGGTGCCCAAGCGGATGGTAATACTAACAAGCGATTGAGCTTGAGAATAGGTGAAAAAAACAATTTAGGTAGGAATATGCTGAGTTTAACTTTGAGAATCCTGAAATTGAGGTGTATACTGACCCACCCCAGAGGGATACAGCACAGGTCAGTTCATGAGTCTGAGCCTCAGAGATTGAGTCTTCACTGGAGACTTAACTGGGGAATCCTCAGCCTATATGTGATAGTGAAATCTGGAGTGTGGAGGAGGGTGTTCAAGTGAGACGAGAAGCAGAGAGACTACAAGTGGAAAGCCCCAGCTTTGAAGAGTTAGAAGAGAAAGAGGAGCACACACCAACAACTCAGAGTACCAAGTCAGAATACTGTGAGGAGAGCCAGGAAGGGGTGGCCTGTGGAAGAGAGGGGAGAAAACAATTTGGAAAGAAATGAATTCATTATCAACTCTCTCCAAGCAGAGAAAGCCAGTAACATGGTCTGAAAAAGCCTTCTGATTTCTTATTTAGGAAGCTTTGGTGAATTCAGGTAGAGTGGATTCTGCAGTTTTGAGTAGAGATTTGCTAGAAGGAAACTGAGAGTGATCCAAGAGTCTTCTGTTTAATGTCTCAATTAGATGGGGAAAGCAAAATTGAGATGTAATCAAGGAAGATGTCATACAATTCGGGGGTTTGGGGAAGAGGCTGAGAGGACACTCCTTCAGCCTTGGAAGATAAATATACCTGCTCCTACCTTTATAGAAAAATAACCCACACCCTGTATTTTTTTCTATTTTTCTCTTCTTTATGTGACAACTATCACCACCTCCATTTCTTCACAATAGATGTATGTGTGTCTCCTTTCTTCTCTTCTCAGCTTTTCCAAGGATGATCCTCTCTTCCCTTGGGTCATCTCACCTGGAGCTCTGTCCCCTTTCAGCCTCATCATAAACATTTTTTAAATGATTATTTATTGAATACTTACTACATGTCTGGCTTTTTACTTAGGTATTTCTTTTGATATTATATATGATGTATATTACCACCCCTTTACAAACATAGGAACAGAGACCTGGCTCCCATCAACATCCAGTTAGTAAGCAGAAGAGCCAAGATTTGAACAGAGGACTACCTAACTCAAAAGTCCACTCAGTTATCCTATTATAAAATGACAAAGTGACAGGTTCTCATTCAAGTATAACCAAGCCTGAGGACAGATCCTGGTGGAAGGGTATAGCGTTATGGGGCCAAGCTGTTGTTTAGAAGAGTGAGTCCCATACAGGAAAATGACGCTGCCCTCGGAAACTTCTCGGTGTATCTCATGGTCTTTCTTTTGCACTGCTTCTTCCTCTATGCCCTTTTCTTCATGGTCGTGATCATCATCATGTTGGTACACTACCTCTGAGAGAGATGCTCTTTGGAAGAATGGACCAGAGGCTGGAAGCCTCATTCTAAGACATGATGTTGTCTCCTATGTTTTAACGAAAAACATGAACAGCAACCTAAGCCCATTGCTTACCCATGATTCCTGCTCCTCTAAGCTTTCCCTTCACAGTCAGGATTCTCTTTGGCTTTCACAGTTATTAAAAAGCCAGTCACCTATAAATTCCTTTAAACATCATAATAACTGTCGTCAACAAACTGAAGTGTTCTTGAATCTCACTGTTAACTTCCCGCTGACCTTTTCTTCTCCCTCTGCTTGCTTTTTCTTGGTCACAGGGTCCTATTCCTTCTCTCAAAACCCCATAACAGGAGGTTTTGATTTTGCCCTTGACTTCTTGTCTCTTCTCTCTGTCCTCCTCTTTGACATCACTTTTATGCAGATTATTGCCAAGTATGCATGCTCAGCTCCAACCTTTTCCCCAGGCTTTCCCCTCTGTTTTCAGTCGCTCACTGGACAGTTAGACAGGCATGTCTTCCTGGCAGCCAAACCGGCCATGTCTGAAGCCAGTGCATCATCCCTTTCCGTCTCCCTCCTCTAGCCTAGCTCTTTATCCTGAGGTGCATATAGCTATTAATAATATCCCACAGTGCCTTCAGTTATCTGAGGGAACCACACCATCATGTTTAGCATCTCCTTTTTTCTCTTCCAGGTGCCCTAGCTACCATGTGCTAATGAATCCACTTTCACAATCTCACCCACATCCTTCCACACATTCCCACAGCCACATCTTAGTTTTTCAGGCTAACCCTGGCTCACAACCCCAAATGGCCGGCTCAGTGTTGCCAGACTAATTTTTCCAGTTTGAATTATTCATTTCCCTACTCAAAAAGCCATCAATAACATTGCACAGTCTATAACTCTGAAACTCTAATTTTCCTGGCATCTAAGCTACCCCACAATCTGGCCCCTTCTTTTTTTGCCTACCTTCTCCCCCACCATTCTCCCATTTATAGCTCAAGTTCCAGGGCAACTACATTACTTACCTTTAACTTCCTAGACTCTCCATGTATTCTTAGTTGTGGGAGAACAATTTCATTTGGAATGTCCCAATTCCTATGCTCTGAGACGCAGCTCTAATGCCATTGTTCTAGAAGTCTTCTCTGATCTTACACATCTGCCCCTAAATTCCTCACATCCCACTTAGTGATATGGCACTGTACATATTTCTGTTGTCTGGTCACCTCTGCTGGATGCCATGCATTCTCACATCAAAGAAAATGCATGAACTTTATAGTCAAGTAGTCATAGGTCTACACTGGTTCTGCATCCTAGCTATGTGATCTTGGCCAAATTTCTAATCATCCTGAGCTACTGTTTCCTCACCTGGAAAATGAGGAATATAATGCCACAGTTTGGTGTTGTGATAAGTATAAATGAGATCATGTATATCAAAATCTCTAGCAGGAGGCTTAACTGAAGGTCTGCCCTCAACACTTGTTAATTTCTCTTCTTTAAGAGAACCAGATCCATGTCTTACCCATTTTATTTTCACTTTCATAATGTGTATTGGTGAAGATCCATAAATATTTGCTTAATGAATGACTATCCAATAA